ATGAATACTGTTTTGGGTTTAAAAGTCAAGGATAACTTATTTTCCTGAAGATGAGACCTCCATAATAACTAATAGCCAAGTGAGAAAACTAGGTGTATCTTTCAGAACCTATTGATTTCCTTGTGTTATGCACAAGGATAAGGAGTTGCCCATGTTTAACTTGTAAGTTATTGCCTTGTAGTTCATTGCAGCAACAATGACAAATTTGTATTGAAGCAAAGTGCTATCCATGGGACAGACTAAAAAATTGATAGTGTAAGCCATCAAGAATATATTATTTATCCATTACAAAGAATGATGTAGATCTAAATGCACTGATGTAGAGGAAAAATTGAGGTTAGTGTAGTCAAGTTAGAGACCTATAAAGTACAAATTATACAGGTTATGTAAAACCCATACACATAGAGAACAATGTTATGTCTGCGTACTTAGGACAAAAATGGGACAACATCTTGAATGGTAGACAGAAATCTGATAACATGGTTACACATGACACAAAAGAGTAACAAGGATGGAAATGGCTGATAAAGGTAGACTTGATTTTCCCTTAGCATATTGTAAAAAATTACAGAGAGTATACATTATAGACATACACACCTAAATATAACTTAACAGAGACTTTAAAAATATATGAAATGAAATATCAGATATAAGTGATTAAAAAGAAAGCAACCAGAGCAAAATGGTGCCATATAAAGAGAATGTAAGGAAAATACCTTTGAGAAGTTCGTAGGCTGATATTCTATACTGATCGAAGGAAATATTCTTTATTAAAATTTATATACTTAATCATATAAAAGATATCCAAGGAGTCTCAGAAGAGAGTCTAGGAAAGTCAGAATATTGGAAATAACAATAACTGAGAATTTTCTAAATTAATGAACAATATCAAATGGAATATTCAAAATATGCTAAAAAAATACCTAACATAACAGTCACATACTTACCCAGACATATGCAATCACCCCAACACACACACACACACACACACACACACACACACACACACACACACACACACACACACACACAGGCCAATTATAGTAAAACTCTTAGAAAGCAAAGGCAAAGGCAAAAACTTAAAAGGGAAGGGACAAAAGCAAAAACAAACATAATTAATAAGCAGGGGCCTTCTTTTTTTCTTTTTCTTTTCTTTTAGTCAGAGTTAACATGACAGCATTGCTTTGAGGCTGACAAAGGCATAAAAGAAACAATAACATGGAAAACAATAGTAGGAAGGAGCCAGGACATCTAAGTTTGGACAAACCAGGAAGATACAGAGTGGTTCTGAGAATTCAGAAACTTAGAGGATGGGTCCTTCAGACCCAGAACACAGATTCTGAAGAAAGGGAACTGCCCAGGTAGAAGTGGTTTCTAAGGAAGATCAGAGGCGAGATACCTGAAACCTGAGACACCTATGTCTGATGATGGTGACCTGCTCTCTGCTCATGCCAAAGCATCAGGATCTCAGTGGAAATCACCCTAAAAGCTGAGTCCCAGAGCTCAAGAGAGAGTTCACCAATGTGCTGGTGGTGGTCTTTCTGAGGGGACCCAATGTGGAAAGTCCTTCAAGTTTGGAAAACTTTATTTTGGACATTCTGCCCCTACTGAAATCATATCGCCTTTAGTTTTATTTTATGTTGAGGCCTTTATTCAGCTGATATTGAAAGGAACAGGAACAGAGAGGAAGGCACATTCTGCTTCTCCTTCCTCCACACTTCCTGTCTCCCTTTGGTAAACCTGACAGAGCCTAACGGGGATCAGGCTGGTAAAGGCAAAATGGGCTTGACAGACTCCCAGTCTAGTATGGAACAGAATATAGGACACGGAGCCAAGAGACTTAGATATCCTTTAGATATCTTTAGTTATCCTTAGATAATCTGCTTCTTCCTAAAGCACATATCATGACAAAGAATATAATAGCAAGTCTTTTAGATGCTATGTATTTCTTTTGAAACATAATAAATACATAAGAAATAACTGTAACATCAGCAACATCCCCTTTCTAAAATGCAAAACCAAGAGCCAAAACCTTTATTAAGGAGCTTGTACTTTATGCTTGTAGAATAAATGGAGAGCTACTTACAGATTTCAGTTAGTGGTGTGATGGCAGGAAACTTGTTTATTTCCTTTGCTGAGAATAAAAATAATGTTTATTGAGGATGTTTATTAATTTGTGTGTCAGCGATAAATGATGAGCACAATATTGTAAGTGCCGCCTGCTGACCAGAGTGTGGCTTTCAATATTCATGCAGGGGGTAAAAAGAAAAACAAAACACTTGTAGTGAGGAATTCTCTTAAAATGTGACCACTTCTCTTAATACCACCCTACCTTGAAAACATGTCAGACTCAGAAATAGGCACAAGAGATTACCAGGGCCTTACAGTGGAATGTTGGGCTATGGTTAATGGGCCCCCCATGGATTAGGTCATTCTATAGAGGTATGGCTTTTTTATTGCCTTTGGTTGATTAGACTACTTTACCAATCTGTGACAGAAATTGACATGTACAAAACTGATAATGTTGTTTCCTCTCCATAGCAATGCAAATGATTTCTATTCTTGGCAATGCACATGCAAGTTGCCTTATAGAAAAACAATACTGGTTAACTCAAATTCTTATTTGAAAAGTGCTTAATAGTTTACTGGTTCTCCTATTAATTATTGAGATAAGTAATTTGGATAAATGTTCTTTTAATGATAGCATGAGAGTGTCAGCATCACAGAGCAGTATAAGATTTGATGCTATGAGGACTTAGATATCTTTAGATAGTACCTACTTCTTTCTAGAGCACATATCCTGATGACAAATGCAACAGTAAATGCTTTAAATGCTCTGACTTTCTTTTGAAACACAATAAATAACTATAATATCAGCAACATCCACTTCTGAAACCACCAAAGCAAAAATCAAAACCTTTTTTAAGGAGCTTGTACCTTATATTTATATGATAAATGGGAAGCCATTGACAGATTTAAATTAGTGGTGTGGTGATAGTACATTTGTCTTTTAAAAGAGTCTTTCTTAATCCATGTGTCAGCTAATCAAAATGAGCACCATATCAACCCTAAAGTTCCACAAAGTCACATTAGAGCTTCCACCCCTACTCATTTAATCTTACCATATGTTGACTTCAAATTTTCTCTCCCATAAAGTATACACAATGATTTCTTGCTAGAAGTAGATATAAAATAAGTATAGTACATCCTTAAGGTTACAAGCAGAAATCTTTTTTAAATAGGAGTGTAAGATCAGAAATATTTGGAGATCTCTGCTTTAAAGAATTCAGATCACAATGCCCTCGCACAACAGGTATCATCTTAGAACACACAAACACAGAAAGGTGACTCATCACCTCAGAGTCTCTTCAGTAGGAACTTCCAGCTTCTTCAGTAAAACAGGAGGGCTTATAGCTTCTAATCATCAACTGAGTATCTCACTTTCCCAAAACATACATACATAAAAATGCATATAGCCATACATTCTCAGTGATAGTAGACACCTACTAGGCTCCATATTTCTGCTACTAGTCCAGCCTGTAAATATCCTTGTTAAATGTTTCTGCCTCCAGTATAAAATGGCACATCTCAGTTGTCATAGAAACCAAAATATCATCAGAACATTCTTGTTGGTGTAAGCTTTCTAAGGAAACCAGGAAATGCACATACATCCTCAGAAAAAGCGTTGCTCTTGAGCTCACTTATACCATGCTCAATCTAATGAATGAATGAATATTTGAGAAAATATCTGAAGTTCTCCACTGAATAGACATTTAGAGAAAGAAGTGCAGTTCCCCTGTTAAAGACACAGACTCATGTTCCAGTTTCTGTTACAAATCACTTTTCAGGCTGCCATAACATGAGAAGAAGAGGTGCATTTGTGCAGGGGGAAGCCTCTAGATTGTTGGTCACTTTAAAATGATCTGCAGGGGATAAAGCATCTGGATGTCAGGGGAATGCAAACTAGAATATCAGGTTTTGCCACAGTCATAGGAAACTAGGCCTACATTTATACGAAATGTGTGTTATTGGGTCCTGAGGACCAAATGGTTCCTGAGAAGAGAAACGACCCCACAAAGCACACTTGCCCTAGGGCAACAGGGAGATAAAGGTAAATATCTCACATTTGGGAATCGGCTCTGCCTAGTTAATGCTGAACCCATACTGTCTGTGAATATTGTGCTTAGAGGTAGGTTTCTAATAACCATGTTAAGATTTTTAAAAAATTCGTAAAATTGATAATTGCACAAAATTATCATCGGGGTACACAAGAACACACAATTTCTGTCATACACATTCATGTCAGAGATAGAACTGCGCTATGATGCAACACTTTCTCCCATAGTAAGCTTAAAATGGATGCCTGTGTGATCAGTCCTGGGCAGTTATGTGCATAACGCCCTGCAGAAAGGAGTGTAGTTCTGGTTTCCAGCATTTCTAGGTTTCCTAGTCTAAAATCTCCCACCATGGCCTACTTTTTAGCTACCTAGAAGATGTCACTGAATGCTGAATTGGCCAGTAATGTAGAGAATCAGCTCTCATGAACTGATTCAAGCCAGCTTCAGCACACGACTCGATCTACATACCCTAGAGCAAAACAAAGTCATTCTGCTCTATGTGGGATCCACAAGAGAAGGGCCATGATGGATTAGAGATAAACCAGTGTGCAAACTACATGAACGATTTCAACAAGTTCTTAAAACATAGGAAATGGAGATAGTTATCAAGACCCACAGTCTAGCCTGTCTAGTTTCTATCTAGCTTTGCAAATAGTGGGATGTTTTCATGGTCACTCATTATAAATCAGAGACTTTCAGAAAGATAAATGAAGGTTCGAGTGTCAACTCTGCCACTCATTAACCTTATGACTTACAGCATGCTGCTTAAACACCCTGTTGCCTAGTTCCCATTTTGGTGAAACAAAGTGATAATGTCTCTACCTTCAAAAGGTTGATCAAAGTTCACTAAAGAAAATGAAAACTTTGTTTCATAAAGCATGTTCTTTTTATTGAAGCAAAAAAATAGTTTAACATTTCTTTTTTAAACAAATAATTTATAAGTTCTTAGCATTATTTTCTAATTTTCAATTACTGACAAACATAGGCACTTAAAACCTTTGTGGGGTCTTCAGAACAAAAAGTTTGAGAACAACTGTTTTTGTAGAATTCAGGAAGGTGGCCATAAATCTGCATCATACAGTCTCACAAGCTGACTTTCAATTCATCATCTCTCACCATTTCTCTCCAAAAAAATACAACACATTTATGGTTTCAGCCTGCAAAGTGCCTTCTGCAGTCAGGTAGTGAGAAATTAGGTCTACTACATTCCTCATGTCTATGTGCAGCCTACACGAATGCTCAGAGGATCTGTCTTCAGTTAATGATAAGGAGGCATGAGCATCTGTAATCCATTTCAGTGGCATTTTCCCCCCAAATTGTGTCATTCAATGCATGTTATTCTAGAATTTTGTTTTCATGCAACTTAACATCATTCCATATCACTACATAGCATTCTACCTCACTTTGTATACACTGCATTATTATTTAATTGGATGTATGAATTTATATGTTTGTATTGTTCCCCATGTTGTATCGTAAGCATCTTTTTCAAAAAGTATATTTAATACCTCTCTGTTCTGAGGAATCACAGGAATATAGATAAGTGCCACCTGCTGACCAGACTGGTATTCTGCACAGTGAGACTGAAAGGAAAACACCTAGGAACTGTAGGGCAACTAGAGGCAAGCTTCAGAGGTAAGACTGTCCAGCCCATGGGATATTCCACTGTCACCTAATGACAAAGCTAGTCTGTATGCCTCTGTGTCTTCCCCTTAGAACAATGTGCAGTGTATCACAATGGCAGATATTATTTCTTTTTTTGTCCCTCTTCATAGGAATGCTTATTGAAAATTCTCACAATGAATTAAAAGGTTCAGTGTAAACTATGTGTCTATTCTTCCAGATTTTATTCTATCCATACATACAGTTTTATAAACTCTATGAATACCCTTTAAAACAATTCCACAGCATATTTTCACATTCCTTGGAATTCTCATTTGTCTAATCTTAATGTGAATCACTTTGATGAGGTACATTCCACAAACCCTAGAAATAATAATTTGAGTTATTTTTCTACTGAAAAAGTAATATATTTCTCATTATAAATAATAGGTAAATCTTTTAAGTAAAACCATTAAACTTCCCTGTTACCTCATTCTTTGTTTCTGTCCCAATATATCCTCTGTTGCTAAATTCATACACACCTTTAGAATCACATGATGATTTTAGGATACTGAGCATCATCCAACTAGTTTTACTCTATCTCCAATTTCTCAGAGAAACAAGTATCCAGTACTTCAACTTATCTTTGAATAAAATATCTAAGCCTGTGAGGTAAGAATTCACAATTAAATCAACATGAAGGGCAAATATTACTACTAGAAATTTTCCCACACTAACTCCACAGTCTATTGAGGATGATCAAACAATGAAATTCTGAAATGAGTATTTTACATTTTCTAATATATTTTATAACATTGAATTTTGCCACCTTTGCTTTTAGTTAAAAATTAAATTCCTATATAATAAATTAGCCTTTCAGTCATGTAAGAAGTATCCATGCCTCTCCAATATACAAATTTGAAAATTAGATTCTGATAATCCCTTTTTCAAGCATTGGTTTTAGATATGTCAAATACTTAGTATAATAACCACAGGATTACTGGAGGCACTTTCAGTGGAATGTTGAGCATTGGCCAGTGGGCCCTATAGGAGTATCCCATTGTACATAGGTAAGCCTCTTTCATCGTCTTTGATTGATTAGGCTACTTTTCCACTCTGTAAGAGACAAAAGTTAACTTGTGGAAAACTGATAGTAAACGCCAATGTTTCCTGTCCATTCCAATGTAAACGATTCCTATTCCTGCCAATGCACATATATTTTGTCCTATGGAAAATGTCAGAAACCAAAATTCAAATTTGAAAGGATCGTAGTTTGTTATTAATTATGGAGTTAAAGAAGTGGCAAAAGTGAATATCCTTGTCTTATTTTTTATCTTAAGGGGAAGGTTTTCAGTCTGTCACAATTAAGGCTGCTATTAGCTTTGGGGTCTTTTTAAATGCCCTCTATTACATTAAGGAAACTTCCTTTGATTTCTAGCTTGTTGTTTTATTTATCATGAAAGGGTGTTGAATTTTGTCAAACACTCTCATTCATCAACTGAGATGATTATGTGGCTTTTCCCTTCATTTTATTAATATAATGTGTTACACTGTTGTCTCACCCTCACATTCCTAGGAGAAATCCCAATTTACAGTGGTGTATGGTCCTTTTAATAAAATGCTAGAATGACTTTGCTACTATTTTGGAGAGTACTCTTTCATCTATATTCATAAGGGTTATTAATCTGTAGTTTTCTTTTCTTGTAATGTCTTTGTCAGTCTTTTGTGTCTGGGTGATACTGGTCTCATAGTATGAATTAGGAAGTGTTTTTTCCTCTTCTGATTTTCAAGGTGTTTGAGAATTGGTGTTAATTTTCCTTAAATGTTTGCTAGAACTCACCATCAAGCCACTTGTTTTGAGCTTTTCTTTGTTGGAATTTTTTAAAATTACTGATGAAATCCCATTATATTTATAGTACTGTTCAGATTTTCTATTCTTGAATCAGTTTTGTTTGCATATTTCTACAAATGTCTATTTCATCTAAGTTATCTAATTTATTAGAATACAATGGTTAACAGCATTCACCAACAATCCATCAGTAATTTCAATCTAATCTTTTTTTGGCCATTATAGCTAACAGTATGTCAGTTTTATTAATATTTTAAAAGAAATAATATTGGCTTTGTTGATTCTATTTTTTCTCCTTTTTGTAAGTATCCAGTTAAATCTCTATTATTTCATTGCTTCTATTGGGATTGGACTTAGTTTGCTCTTCTTTTTCTGGTTTCTTAAGGTAAAAAGTCAGGATATTGATCTGAGATCTTTCTTTTTTAATATATGTGCTTATGGCTATAAATATCCATCTGAGCACTGATTTTGCTGCATCCCACAAGTCTTGGTACATTGTGTTTTCATTTTCATTTGTCTCGAATTATTTTCTAGTTTCCCTTGTGATTCTTTTTTGACTCATTGGTTTTCTTTAAAGAGTGTGTCTATCACTTCACATATTTGTGAATTAACATGATTCCCTTCCGTTTTTTATTTCTAATTTCATTCCATTTTGGTCAGGGAACACATTTTACATAATTTTAATCTTTCTGAATTTATTGAGTTTTTTAGTGGCCTAACATATGGTCTCTTCCTGGAGAATTTTCCATATGTACTTGAAAATTATGTGTATTCTGCTCTTGGTAGGTAGAATGTTCTATACATGTCTCTTAGTTTACTTGTTTTATAGTTTGGTTTAAATCGTCTTCTTGTTTATCTTCTGTCTACTGGTTCTATACATTATTAAAAGTGGGGTGTTCTTGATGTTCTTGTGTCTATTATTATAAAACTATTTCTTCAGTTTTGTCAATTTTTTTTGCTTTGTATATGTTAGAGCTCAATAATTAGATACATGTTTATAATTGTTATATCTTCTTGATGCATAGATCTTTTTATTATTGTATGATGTCTCTTTGTCTCTTATGAGAATTTTTGTCTTACAATGTATTTTTTCTGATATTATTAGAGTAAATCCTACTTTTTGTTGGTTACCATTTTCACGAAACATCTTTTTCCATCCTTTTACTTCCAACCAATTTGTGTCTTTGGATCTCCGAAGGTTATATGTAGATAGCATATAATTACCTCCAATACTCAATCACCACAGTTGACTCCTGGACTCAAGAATGGGGAGGAGGCACTGGAGATGCCCTTCAGTGAATGCCTCAGGAGGGTTCTGGGTGTTTCCTTCCATTGGCCAACAGAAACACACGCTCAATTCTACTAAAGCTTGTCATGGGAATTTTGGTAGCAGACCTTGATGCACAGAAGGCCCAGTCACTGCCTAACACTGCTTTATTACCTCAACCTCCAGGCATAAGTCACTGTAACCCCAGTCAATAAGAAATTCCTTGGTACTTAAGGCACAAGATGAACAAATGCTTTTTATGACACATTAAATTTATTGTTAGAGCATCAGTATTGTACCAGACCACAAAGTCTCACATGTGACTCATATTGCTTCAAATGAATGAGAGAAGTAGAAGATAAAATGTTAGAACTTGACATTGTGATGGCACTATGAGGAACACAGGGCCACAGCAATATATGGGAAAGGGTTTTTTTCCTTTGAACAATACATAAGTTGTGATCAGAGATACTCTTGTTATAACAGGCTGTCATGAGGGTAAGTCAGTTGATGTGGGTGGAATGCCCACAAACTCTCAGGATACTCTGAATAAACACCATGATAGGAGAAGGCAGAGATGTCAAACTCTCCAGATACAGAGGAATGCAAGGCTCACATGGAGTTAATATCTGGGCCCAAACAGACAGATTAATATATGGAAAAATATGTATGAAGACAATAGTGAGAGAGAAAAGAGTCCTGACAAGAGATTGAACTCCCATAGACTTCCCTGTGGTTGGCAGTCACTGAGAAATTAATTTGAATTGGTGACATTTTGGAATCTGCTTTCTTCAGGCAGTGCTACAATTTACACATTTGCCAGTAATAAGAAGGTTCAGTTGTATGACTCTTACAGATAGGATAAGTTAAGAATCTTAAAGAGAAATCTAATGAGGATTGATAAGGAGCACAATAATTTATCAATGCACACAAATATATGTTTCTGCCACATATATTCAGTTTACAAAGACACAACGGTTCTGTGATACAGTTCATCTCAGAATTAAACAAAAAGAAAGCTCCCTTTGTGGTTAACCCTGAGGTTTTTTTTTAAGAAGCCACCATGCTTTTCCTAGGATACACAGGAGTAAGGCCACGATAGACAGTCATGCCTATATATATGTGAAACAAAGTTTGCAATAATTTCTGTATAGGAGAAAACCAAAACATGCATCATGACCCACATTCCAGCCATTATATTTTCTCATGGATTAAAATTAGGTGGTTCCATGGGTAAGCTTTCCAATCACAGAATCATTAAGAAAAGTAGATGAGGTTTGAGTGTAGTTCTGCTGCTTAAGCAGTATATGGCTGTATGCTTTTCTCTTAGCTACTGTTACCTAGTTTCCTTTTCTGACAAATAGACCAACAATCAATATTTTTTCCTTGCAAGGATTGATTAGAGGTCAAATGTGCACTGTATTTTGTCTGGAATATCAAAGATAAATAAAGGTGTCAAAAATGTCCAGTTATTAATGTTAATATAGAGACCCCTCTTCACCTGGTCCATGAGAAAGTCAAATTTCAGCCTAGAAATGCTGGCACTATCACCAGCATTTAAATTGCCAGCAAATAAATATTTAGATATCTATCTAAACTTTGTCACAAATTGCCTGGGGAAGAAAAATGAAATTTATCACACACCCTCATACCTAAAATAAGGAAACATTAAAAAGACAATGGTCAGTGAATAATAAAACTTACCTTCCTCAATAATAATATAAAGAATGCAAATGCAAAAAGCACTCCATATTTTCACTTCTTAAAATTGATGAAACAAAAGAATGGCAGAACACAGGATTGTCCAAGGTCTGAGGAAACAGGCACCTGAAAGTTGCTGTTTCCCAAGGTTACAAAGGTGGGACGTGAAGCACCCAAATCTGAACTCAGGTTATTCAACCACAGAAGCAGTCAGATATCTTTCCCCAGTATTCATCACCACAGGAATGCTCACTGAGAATGCTAAAAAATAATAATAAAAAGGTAAAAATATTGTCATTGAGTCTCTCTACTTCCAGATATTTTCCTCTTTGTTTTTTTATTTCCACAACTGAAAGAAAAGTCTTTAAGGGTTTTAGTTCTACACCATTTTTCAACATACTTTATCGTTAATTTTTTTATTATTTAGAAAGTGTATGTTGTGTTGATGCTTTACCTTCCACATACATTCAATATATAAATGTCAGGGTTTTTTAAATAAAAATGATGCATGCTTAATATAAACAAATAATTGGAAAATGTTTTCATTAATATCTAAATGAATTAGCACAGTACCCAATAGCCCCTTCTCAATATATCCCTATTACCAAGTTTGCATATAAACTTCCAGTAATGTTTTCATTTTTTACATGCATAGGAATCTCACTCTCTTATTCCTCCCTCCCTCTCTCTCTTTCTACCTCTATCTCTCCTCCCACCACATTCTCTTTCTCCTCTTCCTCCTCTATTTCTTTCACACACACACACACACACACACACACACACACACACACACACTCTTACCCCTTTTTGTTCTCTTTGATGATTAGTGCATGAAACTCAACAATACCCACCTATGTTAAACTATCCCCAAATCTCAGTTTGGTTACTTTCACAAATAACCAAGTATCTCAATTTAACCTGACGTAAATTATCTTCCATGTGTTGTATGTTAAAATACATAATCTGTTTCACACTCATGCTCAATCATTTGCTCTAAGGACTCAAGGAAATTAAAAAGCTGATACGCCATAGTTACAGTTTATTACAGTGAAAACTCAAGTCAAATAGGTTAAAATATGCAGAGAAGAGGTACACAGGGTGAAGTCAAGGAGAAATCAGGCTCAATCTTCCAAGTGTCCCTTCCTAATGGATTTGCACAAGGACATGCTCAAATTCCCCTAGCAACAAAGTGAGACAACACATGTGAAGTGTTGTCAATGAAGGACCTTCATCTGAAACTTGGTGTCCAGAGATTATCGGGTAGTCACACAGGCACGTTGACAGATCTTACCTACCCAGGTCCCCATTCCTCTTCTTATTCCCAAATCAGAAGAGACCTTCATGGTTATAGTTTCTTATAGTGAAAGAAAACAGATTAAATCAACAATAGAAAAAGGTACATGGGGAAAAACGCAGGAGAAACCAGAGGCAAGCTTCCAAGTATCCCTTCCCAGAGGAGTCACGGGCAGATTCACCTAATTTTAATAGAAATGACATGTGCTAACCAGGGAAGTTAACTTGAGCTTTGGAGACTTTTAATGAAGATCAGTCACATAACCATGCATTGCCTGTGTGACTGATCACAGCCGCTCAAGATTCCAGTCCATTAACCAGAGCAAAAACAGGCATTCACAATAAATCACATTGTTAGGATTAACTTAACTGGTCAGATAGGTACAGCATGGTCCAAAGACTCAGACATCAGTCCAGACTCCGATTGGGTCCAGAAGATATGCTGTTCTTCAAAATGTGCACAGTTTGAACAACCCAGGATTGCTGAGTTAACCCTTTATGGCCAATAATAAAACTAACATAAGGAAAAATGTTAATCATTCCAAATCCATATTTAAAAAATTAAAGGCTTTCCAAGGATTATCAAGATATAAAACATCCAAATGAGGAGTTTTTAATTCTCAAGGCTTTAACAAAAATAATGATACATTTTCTACCTTTCTCTTAGGTTGGAAACAAAATCGCTAAAGAAAAAATAATTTTCTGTTATCCAATAAGTGGGCATACCTTACACAAAAGTATTAATTTGTAAGTTATATTCTAATAATCCCTACCCAGGTGCCTAGTCAACATATACCTAAAGGAAAAGAAATCCTAGGAATGGAGTTCTCTCTAATAAGAATATATTTTTTAAATGACCCCTATGAATGCAAGAAAAGATATACACATATGCAATAAGGACATGAAAATCAGCTCAATATCATTAGTCACTAGAGAAATGCAAACAAAATCACCATGTGAAGCCAACGCACACTCACAAGGATGAGTATAATGGACTTCTTTTGTCAAATGGAAATTAAAACAAATTGACCAGGATATGGAAAAATTGGAACCCTTGCACAGTATAGTGGGAATGTGAAATTCTTCAGTTACAGTCGAAAGTAGTTTGGCAGTTCCTCGAAAGTTAAACGTATAATTACCGTATGACTGACTCAGCAGTTCCACTCTTAGGTAGAGACCCAAAAGAATCAAAAGCATTTGTTCAAACAAAAATGTGTACACAAATGTTCATAGCAGCTCTGCTGACAGTAACCAAAAGGGGGAAACCTCCCAAGTGTTCATCAACTGATGAAAAAGTACACAAAAGTGGTATATCTGTACAGTGGAATATCATTCAGCCATAAAAAGGAATGAAATATGGATACATGCAACACCATGGATGAAACATGAAACCATTATGCTAAGTGAGAGAGGCCAGACACAAAAGGCCACATATATTGTATGATTTCATTGGTATCAAATATCAGAATAGGTAAATCTCTAGAGATAGTACATTAGTGGTTTCCAGAGCCTGGGGGCAGGGGAGGGGAAAGTGGGATGGCGTTTCCGTTTGGGGTAATGATAGACTTTGGAACTAGACACAGGGGATGGCTGCAAGACATTGTAAATACACTAAATGCCCCTGACATGTACCCTTTAAAATGGTGAATTTATGTTATGTGAATTTTACCACAAGAAAAAAAGATGCTGATAGGGTTTACACCTGTATGAACAGATTGTGAATTAACTTCAAAATCTGTTAAAATGCACCATTTAGGAAACCTTTTTGTTCTTGATTGACATTGGGGCTCAAGTTATGGTAATACTTGAGTATCTCACTAAATTTTAAAAGGAAGACCCCGTAACATTAGAGGACGTACTGAATATCAAACAGAGGACAAACAGGTTTGCCTTGCCTTATGCATTGGAGTACTACCTTGCCTCAATTGCCCCTGGTTATAGCACCCATTGTCCTAAAATATCCTACAGTGGCCACAGGCACTCTGACACAGTGGGTAATGACATTAAATTAAGTCTTTGCCACTTATAAATTGGCTTGACCAAACGGGACCCAGCAGACGAACTCCACTGAAAATACTGACTTTGGGCTATGGAAGAATAAACAGTGCCCCAAGGGATTGAAACCCATTATGTAAGTTCTTCATAGAGAAGAGGTGATTATCCCCATTACTTTTCTATTTCACCTTCCCGAAGGGACTGTAAGGATTAAAATCGAACATGTAGGTCATGCAGAGAATGGGCGATTTAACCCACTTCTCCATTTAACGTTTCCCAATTTTACCTGTTATTAAACTACAAAAGAATGAGTGACATCTCAGTACAGATTACGACAGACTTAGTGCCTCAATACCATTAAGACCCCACATCCAGAGTTACTGAAAGTACTGCCTCCAAACAATCAGCAACTGGTAAAGGTTTTGCTAAGATAGATTTGGCTCATGTGTTCTGTTCAGTGCCTATAGCAACAGGACCTCCACTGCAGTGCAACTTCACCTTCACTTCTGAAGGGACGTGATGCACATTTACCTGGCTACGCACAGGGTACCTGGGCAGCCCTCAGGTAGGGCTAGGCCACGGCACCTCGGTTAAATTCCTGAAGATTATTTGGTAGACCAAGGGCTGCTCCCTCACTGACACTACCAAGATGAGCTACTGACCCTCTTGGCACCCACAATGTTAAAACAAACCCAACATTTTATAGACCTTTGTGGGCTCAGTGGGAAAGTCCTCATTTGCAAATGTTACATAAGCCCATTTTAAATGACGCTGCTATTTAAAAACTGGCCCACCTTCAAAGGGCCCCCTATGGGCAAAAGGCACCAGAATTTGTCCAGATTGCAAAACAGCAGTCGCTCCTGGTAGGGACTCCTGGAGAGTCCTTTACTGTTGAGGTTTCAGCAGCCTCCTCTCATGCCTCCTGGAATCTCTGACCCTCCTGTGATGACCGTAAGTTGTTCATGGGATTCTGTGGGAAGAAAGAACACTGCTCAGCCCCAGGATACAAGACATTAGAGGGGCCATGCTGCCCACATATTGAGCTCTCCTGACATTAGAAGTGCTCACAGGCCTGGGCCTGTGACACTCAGTAGCCAGTTGCCCATTAGGCCCTGGGTGATAGTCGCAGCACCCTTGCAAGTTGGGCAAAGCTACCGAGGCTTCCTTGTTACAGATGGAGGCAAACCTGGGCCCTCTGGCGTATCCATCCCACTACCAGGAGGGCTTGACCTTCCCCAGCATCATTCCCTTGCCAGATGCCAGAGTGTTGGACGAGGTCACCCTGCTCTCTGACCCCTTGGTGACCAGGGGAGCCCCTTGGGACCAGCTGAGTGAACAGCAATGGGTGTTCCTCCACTCTGTGCCTGGAATCGTCACCATCACTCTGGCCACCAGTGATGGAGCTCTCATCCCTCAACTAGGACATCTCTACTATGATGGGTGTCTGGGACCCGAGGATCAGTCAGTACAGTTGACGGACCTTTAGGCAGTCACCTCAGCACTGGATGTCCTGGCCAATAGTCAGCCCCAACAGCATATTTTTACAGATTGTCGGGCCACTGTCATGGGGCTGGCTGTCTGGTCCAGCCAATAGCAGTAACAACAGTCTCTTGTCCAGGATCGTCCCCTGTGGGGCAAAGAACTCTGGGACTCTCGCTTTACAGAATTCCAAAATATAAGTCAAGGTCACACATACGAGAACTCACCAAGACACTCCATATCCACTTTGCAGTTCCAGAAATTGATAGTGACTGAGGCATTCATCTCACTGCTCAGGATACAGAACGCTGGGCTGTCGAGCAGGCAGGCAGTGGACCTGTCGCCTCTCTATCTGGCCTCAGGCGGCAGGACTCATAGAGTTCCATAATGGCTTGCTTCAACAAGCGCAAATTCAGTTAAAGGGAAATGGCACATTTCAGCCACAGCCCCATGTCAGGGGTGGACTGTAAGTGCGTGCCTGACTCCATGCCTTGAGGTTTGCCTGCTGAGGGCTCTTTAGCCTCAGTCCTCCCTCTTTCCAATGCCCCACATCTGGATGGGTACACAAAAAAGCCCACGTGTTCTCTCCTTCTGCACACTGGCTGGGAGGGACGAGGGGCAAACTACACGAGCCCCTGCCAGCACACAGGAACCCTTGTGTCGCCCCATCCACTGACCAGAGTGAAACTCCCAACACGGTCTCCTTACTGACTCTCTCAGGCCTTTTTTTTTTTTTTTTTGGAGCAGTCTGCCCTACCCTTTCTTAAAGAGGCTCATTATGTAAGCAATGCACTTTTTGTATCCTCTTGATAGTGTGTGTGTGTGTCTGTGCGTGTGTCTGTGTGTGTGTGTTGTCTCCACTCGGGGCATTTGAACCAAATGTTGAATAGGGGTGCGTACTGATCCCCAGAGTGGCCACAACAGCTTCTCTCACCATCATTCTAGCAGCACACTTGCCGAATGTGTTCTTTCCATCCCGGAAACTTCAGGGTCTGTCAGACTAGATGTCCTGGATCCCAAGAAGGTGTACCGCCTGTAAGGCACAAAGTTTATATTCTACTGAACTGGAAGTTATAACTAACACCCAGTCTCGCCTCTGTGCTCGGTGACAATGGTAAGTGGAATTAGCATAAAATGTCTGCTGGTGTCTTCTTAGTTTTAGGAATCTTAACACGTGAAGTCTTGGCTAGGTGGACCTGAGTACCACAAAACCTCTCAGACTGTTGACTGAGAAATCATCCTGGCAAGCCTGTTCTTTTAAGGTCTTCCATGCCTTATGGGTCCACTTGGGCTGCCACAATGAAATGCCATAGACTGGTTGGCTTAAATCACAGGCACTCGTTTAACACAGTTCTGGAGGCAGGGAAGCCCAAGCTCAGGGGTAACAGCATGCTCAGGTTCTTTGTGAGGATCCTCATCCTGGCTTGCAGACAATGCCTTCTTTCTGTGACTTCACTGTGGGGTGGGGGTGGGGAGAGGGTGGAGAGCAAGCTCTCTGGTCTCTTCTTTAAGGGCACTCATCCCACAATGTGGACCCCACCCTCACGACCTCATCAAAGCCTGATCACCTACCAAAGACCCCATGTCCAAATACCACCACATTGTGGGCAAGGATTCCAGCACATGGCTATCAGGGGCACACAATTCAGTCCCTCGTATGTGCACAGCCCAGTCCTGTAAAAACTTCTCTCTCTTTCTTTATTCGTCATTTACAGTCTTGGGTTGGGAAGCATGTGTGAACCACTCTCCAGCTCCAACTTTAGTACTTCTTCCACTCTCCATTCTCACAGCATTCATTTCAACTTTGTATGTTCTTTTCTAAGTAGCTTTAATAACGTTTAAATATCCAAATACTCCTTCTCTCTTTTGAGAGCTTTTTTTTTTAACCATGCTGCTATTTGGTCTATACACTTTTGTTTCCTTCCTGAAAGAACTATGTCTCTGCTGGCATGAACCCTCCCAAGGTGGAAATTGGGGAAAAAAGCACACTTGGCAGATGTTCACTACATGGCCATTTAGAGAACAAGTTCATCCCCTTGTACAGGATGCACTTAAAGTCACCTTTCAGTTCTAGGATTCTGTCTCTTAACAAATAGTACATTAGAGATTTAATCCTCTCTTCTGAGTTCATTGCTTATGCTATGCTTAAAATATATAGGCCATTTATCTGGTCTTGTAATACAACTTGGGTTCATACTTTCACAAAAGATATAATAAATTCACCAATTTCACATCTGATATTCATCTTTTATTTTAGCCAAAATCACAGAATATCAATACTTCAAGTATTATTAATAGAGCAGTAGTTCTCAACCTTTACTCTATTCCTGCATATTTGACAGACAGGATGTATTCTTGCTAGTTGCTCTCTGTGGCAACAAGCCCCCTTAGGAAGGGCAGAGAGACTGAATGGGCTGCTTCTCTAGGGTGGGTCCAAATTCCAAGGAATGTGGGTAGGTCTCCCTCAGATGATTTTAAGAGGCTACCTCCTCCCAGCAAGGTTCTATAAGAATCACTGGGTCTAATACCATGCATCTTAATTCTCCAGATTTTATCTTTGTATTAGAGAGCTAAATATTTGGATTATATAACAATAATCAAGGTGAAAATATACTCCTTTACAGAAATGCTATACTATGAGTTGACTAATGATTATATTGAAAAAATATATAATAAGTTTGATGCAAGAACCAATCTGAGGAGCCTTTCCGTATATTTAAAAAGGAACCTGTAATGGAAAAACTTTAACACATTTGTTATTCTATGCTATTTGTACAATAACCTCGTAGAGTAAGTTTAGACTTGAGTTTTGTTAGAGGAGAAAAACAAAAGGGCGCCTATATGTGAGTGTTTGTTTTCTCTGCAAGAGAAGTTTATGTTCAGAGACTCAGGAGACATAATTTCTAATCATGACCTGGCTTCTACTTGGCCAGGGGGTAGGACTGGAAGATATTCAAGCTTTCTTTAACCTGAAAATTAAATACTTCCTCAGGAAAAATCCCCTTTCTTCCTTTCTGCCAGAAAGTTCACAAGAAAATTACCGACAGGTGGTAGTAATTTGGTTTTTTCCAACTACCTAGTAACAACTACTTTTTCTGTTTCCTTAGAAATGCTCTGTTTTGTTTTATCCATATGTGGTTTATTATTTACTGTCTTTTATCCCTGTAAACCCTCTTAAGTCCTTGCAAACCAGTAGGATATAAAAGAGCAAAGTTCTAACATGGATTACAGCTCGTTGGGCAGAATGACAAGTTTGTCTTCTTCACATTTGATTCTTGCTTGTAAGTGATGCACAGCCAAAGCTACAAACGTTTACAATTACTTGTAAGATAGCTGAGATGTTAAATGGATTAGTAACATGTTAAAAAGAAGAAAAATATCCAATTCTTTTTCCAGATGAACTCATGATTTCCATGGTTACTTTTTGTGAAGTATGGGAAATCTTTACTATAATTTTTGTTTCCTAGATATAAAACTAAGATTGATAAACTACCCAAAAAGAATAAGTAATACAGTCTAGTAAAAGGAAGCATTTGAAACTTAGGTCTGAGACTGTCTAACAGAGTCAGCAGAATTCATACTTTTCATAGATTATACCAGTGTTTACAATCACATGTATGTACATATTTATGTGTAAAGAGGTGGGGAAGAGGAAGTGGGAGAGAGTAAAGAGAAAAAAGGAAACTACATAAAGGTCAAGTAATTTATTCTAGTACCTTAGATGTAAAAATCTATGAAATAAGCTTTCTTTCAGGCATTAATTTGCTAATGACTTTTTCTCATTCTTTCATTTTAAGGTAACAAGACCTTATTTTAAAATACAAATGTAATTTTCCTTCACTCTGAAAATCACTCATTTTGGCTAAGATTTTATTTTAGAATTAATTTTTTGTCTATATTTTTCTTTCCTTAGAAGCAAACTTAAAAATTAAATATAGGTTTAAGAATGCATTGCCTCCTTTAAATTTCTCTAAGTTCTATAACTACTTCTTAGTTTTGAACCCCAGAGAAAATCAGTTTATTTTCCCTTATCAGACAGGGAAGCTTTTGCAATAGCTTCTTTCTGTTCATCCTGAGTAACTTAAGACTTTTGTTCAAATTCTCAATTCAGGGGCTAAACACACCTCTGTTCATAGAAGCTTCTCTTGATGAGTACCCCTTTCTCTTTAGCCACATTACCCTTCAATAGTTCAAATGACTGAGAAAGAGGCAGAGAATATGTGCAAGAAAGTGATGGTTTCTAAAGGCGAAAAGAATCAGTTTTAGAAGTAGTCAGGTAGTGGTGAGGAAAGTTCCCTTGGTTTCCATTCTCTCCCCAAATACTTTCCAAAGACTTGCCAATTAGAGCTTAATGTATTCCAGAATTAGTTTGAGCCAAACAGGAGCTCTCCTTGGGTACAATTTTTTTTGGGTGGGGGGCACTTAAACTCCTAAAGCAAAATAGCATCATCTGTATTTAAAATATTAAATTAATAATACTCAAAGATAAGAACAGTTAAGTTACCTAGGACGGTTACTTCAAAATGTCCAAGGCTTTGGGCACTCTTAAATTCATCAAGTGTTGATAGCCTTCCAAACCACTATGTTGTACATCGGAAATGAATAGAATATTGCATATCAACTATATTTCAACGAAACTTAAAATTTTTTAAATATTTTAATTGAACAATACACCCAAAGAACTGAAGACATATGACAGCCTCAGAAAAAAACAGATTTTGGACAACACTCTCATATTTTGCAGGCTGAGAAAGTTTCTGCTTTCAAAAATAAATTTCCATGGAATACTTTCAGGATAAACACAGCTGTAATGTAGGTGTTGTATGAAGCCAAACTTTTTCTCTCTCCATAGCTGACATTCGAACTTATCACTTACAGTTTTCCTGGCTTTCCTGGCTTTCCCTGGGGTACCAGTGCTTGTGCTTTCTCGACCTGTTAAAGACACAGTGAGATAGACTAAATTAACCTATAAACCAAATCAAGTCATTCACTACAAAAAAGCACAGACTAATGAGAAATAGTTTAATAAATTATAAAAATCAAACAACCACCTATAACATGTAAACTGAATGTCGAAAAGGTAATTCTTATTAAAGTGAGAGAGGAACTAAATTCACTTTCATAATAAACTTTTACTCCAAAATATCAACAAGTGGTATTGCTTTGTCGTACATTAACTTTTCCATATTTTCTCTGGAAATATGTTTCCTTGTTTTCTCTGTTGCTGGAATTATAGAGATAACGTAATTATCTCCTATATACTTAATCTATATTTTCTAAATGTTCTTAAATAAACATATATGCCTTTTATATTCAGTAACAAATTCAAGTTAAGTCAAATTCATGAGGGTAATAATCTTGAGAGATGGGATCACCACTCACTGTTGGTGGAATTCAAGCTTAAAATAACATTTTGTTAATCTTTGCTAAAAATAGCCTGAACAAATCCAAATACAGTCTTTTTCTTGGATATAACTCCCTTCAAAGGGACTGTATATTTATTAGGTATGATACTTCTTTCTGATATAATAACATGTGAAAAGCAAAGAGGGAACTACATTGAGATGAAAGGCTCTTCAATTTTGATTATTCTCTATCACCAAGTCTATTTTTCTCCTTTATGTACAATTTACCCAACACATTTAGTTTCGAAGGAGAATATAATTTCTCCCCTATGATTTATGACATCCATTCAGCAAATAACTATTGAGCGCTTATTATGTACCAGATACTGTGACAAGGAATTTGGTAAAACAATATTTTAGTTGACTTCTTTGTCACATATTAATTGACTCTATAAGTATAGGCTTATTTCTGGGCTTTCTCTTCTGTTCCATTGATCTATGTGCCTACTTTTGTGCCAGTACCATAATGGGGGAGGAGGATGGGTAAAATAGGTGAAGGGGATGAAGAGGTACAAACTTCAAACTATAAAACAAATTAGTCACAGGTATGAAAGTACTGCATAGGGAATACAGACAATAATACTGCAATTTATTTGTAAGTTGACAGATGGTAACTATACTTATTGCAGTGAACATTTAGTAATGTATATAACTGTTGAACCACTATGTTGTATATCAGAAATGAATAGAATATTGCATATCAACTATATTTCAATGAAACTTAAAATTTTTTAAATACTTTAATTGAACAATACACCCTAAGAACTGAAGACATATGACAGCCTCAGAAAAAAACAGATTTTGGACAACACTGTCATGTTGTCAGTTCTGCTAGCTGAGGCAAGTTGACAGCAAGTGTTTCAGAGTTCACCGAGGTTGGTGAATTGCTTTCCTGTAGGCTACCTATGCTTTGGTGTTCATTATTACCCTAGCATAAAAACCGTTGCTGAGGCAAAAGAGAGTTTCAACAGTAAGATTTAAGTGTGGTCAATACACCACTTCTGTTTTTCATACTTTATTCCATAATCCTAGACTACTTTCTTGGTTTCTTAAGCCTAGCCAGAGGACTTGCTGAAAATTTGTTATGGAGTAAAATGTTAGACTGAGTCATAACAGAAGATGAAGAAGTTGAACACATACTCACTCACCAGTAAGAGATTTTAAAAATTATGCTCAACTATACTTAACTTCCTATAATAATGCTTGATAACAAAAAGGATAGAAAATTTAGTCACATGTGAAAAGGAAAGGAAAGGAATCAATCAAAGCCAAGAGAAAAACTCAAAGCTAATGGATAAAAGTGAGTATCGGGTAATGATTTAATCTTTATCTCCTAGAAATTAACCTCCCCTCCCTAAACAAATAAAAATATGTAATTAGAAGAATGACAAGTAGCTATCACAATGATTCAAGTTATATTGAGCACTCCTGACATTCAAAGAACAAGTTATAGGCTATTAAAATTTTTAAAATTAAGAAATTACATCTACTTTACAGAAAAAAATACTACGGTTAACTTTGTGAGCAGTAAGTCAGAATATTTTCTATGCCTGTTTTCTTATATAAGTGTTCATACTAAGTTCTGACAAGATATAGATGTTTATACGACAAGTTCCTCTGAAAAGTCATGCTGTTTTTTTTAATTTAGTAACTCGGAAATGTAATTACCTACCCCAATTATACGTTCAAAATTAATTCAAATGGGTATGAACTCAATAGAAGAGATAATGGAAGTCACTTAACAGCAAACTTTCAAAGGAAATAACTAGAAAAGAAACAAAACACATCTTAGAATTCAGGTTTTTCTAAAACTAAGATGGAAAATGATTAACTAAAATTCTTTTACTTTTAGTTTGAATACTACTAAAATTACCATATGAAACACATTATGTTTCAAGCCTAATGCATAACTAAGATACAGGTTCATTGCCTAGCAGAATTATATTTTTGTGAGTACATATATATATGATATAATAATCACTTTTCTTTTAATGATTCATTTTACCTTTATTTCAGGTGAGGATTTATGTTTTAATGAGGAAAAAATTTAGGAGAAGGCCATGTATATACATGTTTTAAGGTAAAAAAAGACATTATAAATGTATGTATGTGGGCATGCTGACTTCATTTCTTCACAAAATCTACTCTGAGCATTTCTTTATGTGGATAAGAGTGATGGGTGTATGTTGGCATGTAGGAGGGAGAAGAGCTATTTTCTTTGTCTATTCGCCCCTTGCTTTCACTGACCCCATCCTGGGTCAAGATCTAGATGCCTAGAAAAGAACAAAAGATCAGGTCTATGCTTGGTAGCAAGTATATAAAAGACTTTTTAAAGGATTGTGTAAGGCAGAGGCTACCTGTAATGTTTAATGATCTCAGCAGTACTACTACTGATTATTGTTAACTTTCCAATGCATGTCTTATCTACTTATCTAAGTTACCAGATATAAAGGATGTTAAACTTTGTAGTCTTCAAAATACCCAGCACAATCAAACCACATACACAAATTAACACATATTCACAAAATGACTTTTTAATTTACACACATAATTTCCAAACCTATCATGAAACGTCTATGGGAATATACTTTTAACCATGTTACACATATAGATTTAATTCATTCATTAAAACTGCAGTATAAAAAACAAGTGGGACTACATCAAACTGAAAAGCTTCTGTACAGCAAAGGAAAGTATTGACAAAATGAAAAGGCAACCAACTGAATGGAAGAAAATAATTGTAAATCATATATCTGATAAGGGGTTGATATCTAAAATATAAAAATACTCATTCAATTCACTAGTAAAAAAACAATCCAATTAAAATATGGGTAGAGGATCTTCATACATACTTTCTCAAAGATGACATACAGACGGCCAACAGGTATATGAAAACATGCTCAACATCACTAATTATCGGGGAAATGAAAATCAAAACTGCAATTAGATATCAACTCACAACTCTTAGAATTGTAATTATCAAAAGACAAATAACAAGTGCTGGTAAGGATGTGTAAAAAAGGAACACCAGCACACTCTAGATGGGGATGTAAAAACTGGTACAGCCTCTTTGGAAAATAGCATGAAGACTCCTCAAGAAAGCAAAAATATAACTACCACATGATCCAGCAGCTTCACTTCTGGGTATTTATCTGAAGAAAACAAAAACACTAACTCAAAAAGAAATATGCAGCCCCATATTTACAACAACCAAGACATGGAAACAACCTAAGTGGTCATTGATAGATTAACGGATAACAAATATGTGGTATATGTAAATGGAATATTATTCAGCCCATAAAAATAAATGAAATCTTACTGTTTAAAACAACATGGATGGACCTTGAGGGTATTATGCTAAGTGAAAAAAGTCAGACAAACAAAGACAAATACCATATGATCTCAGTTCTGTGTGGAATCTAAGAACAAAAAAACAAAAACCTGAGCTCATAGATACACAGAACAGATTGGTGATTGCGAGAAGCGGGGCATGGAAGGTGGGTGAAATGAGTGGAGGGGGTCAAAAGATACAAACTGCCAGTTATAAAATGGGGATGTAATGTACAGTATGGTCACTATAGTCAATACTGTATTGCATATATGGAAGTTACTAAGAGAGTAAACCTTGAAATTCTCACAAGGAACTATGTATGGTGATTGATATTAACTAGACTTACTATGGTGATCATTTAGCAATAGATAGAAATATCAAATCATTATGTTGTACACCTGAAACAAATGTAATGTCATATGCCAATTATATGTCAGTAACAAAAAAGCAAAAAAATGTAAAAGAGCTTTTTCAATTATGGAGAACCATTATCAACTTCATTTCTAAGCCACTTCTTGAAAAACTACCCTGAAACAGAAATGCCATACTTGGGGCTTGGGACACTACTGAATAAAGTTTGGCCTCTGCTCATCAATGGAGATAATATGCACTCTAGTTACATTTCTGTAGAAGTTTTGCTTTTTAAAAAAATAATTAGGACCATTTACTTCTCAGTTTATTTAAAGATTTCTCCCAAATAACTCAAAGTTATCAATATGTTTTCAGTATTGTTAATAGTCAAGGAAAAAAGAAAGAGAAATGAAATTTAAAGGCAATTCTTCATATTGCTTGGGCAATATCATTTATTGAGAAAAACTGAATGTTCTCAAAGAGTAAAAATTAAACAAGTTACTCGTGTGGAGTTAACATATCCAAGGGCCTACAATCATACAGTCTGTAAGAATTAACTGAATATTTTTATTTAGTTCTTAGATGTATTTTTTCTACAGAGGGACTCTATATATGATGACTCTGTTTAACATTTACAGTTTATAAATTGCTTTCAAATAAACATTTGTTAAAAAGCCTAAAGCTAACTTTGTGAGGCAAAAAAGGGATGCTTTCCATTTTAGAGATGAATAAATTAAGGCATAGAGTGATTGAGCAACGTACCTCTGTTCAAACAAGTAAAAAAAACTGCAGAGAGAGCCGTCCAAGATGATGGCATAAAATCATCCTGAACTCACCTTCTCCCA